CTAGTTTTCATAGCTTTTCATAATCTTTCTTCATAGATTGTGGTTCAGAGTTGTGCCTAGTTTTTTGTTTCATTGTAGGTGACATATTTTTCTGTTTTTGTTATTCTTATTGATTTTCAAAGGGTAGAAGGCGGGGGCCAAGATATCATTACTTTATCCTCCTTAAGTGGAAGACCCTTGGATGGTATTTGAAGTTGATACTAGACTCAACCCCAGAGAACTGGAATATTTAGAGATCAGCAGAAAAAGAGGAGCCAGCAAAGGAGACTGAGAAGGAAACCAGAGAAGTAGAAGGAAAATGAAGAGAACATAGCTCACAGAAGCCAGTAGAAGAGTGTGCTGAGAAAATGGGAGTCAGTGTCAAATATAGTGGAGAAATTAAGTAAGACGAGCATAGAAAACCAACCAGTGAATTTAGTAGTTTGGGAAGTTTGGTCAAGATTTATTGAAATGCAGGAGTGGAACCTAAATTGGAGTTGTCTGAAGAGGTAATGAAAGGCCAAAGAAAATGGCATGGGTAGATGGACACCTCTGCTGAGAAATAGGAACATTGACAGTAACTTAAGATTCCATTTAAATTCAAAAGAGAAGGAAGACAGGCCAAATCAGTGTGATTAAGGAGCACCTATTCAGAAAGTGTACGTTCCTCATGAAGTAAATGAATAATACTTATGAATAAGATTTTATTAATACCGTACCTAGTAAACCATTCACAGAGAATCTCCCTACTGATTATAATTGGTTCCATATATTTCAAGAAGTCAACCAAGGATAACACTGAATTCTGTTAGTGGTGAATCTAACTTAGAAGCTTCAAGAGTACATTTGAGATATAGTCATCTGAAATAAATTCCTTTTTCTTTTCTGCCTAGCTCAAAGTTAAATATATTTTTGTCCCTTATGTTCAGTAAGTTTTAAGATTCTGCCCAGTTTCCCTGTGAAACAACTCCAATTTCTCTGTCCTCACTTCTCCTATCACTCCCCTCACTGAGCAACTTATTGATGTCTTTAACTAGAAAAGTCACTGATTCCTTGTTTCCAGTCACATCAAATATAAACTCCCTCAGCCTGACTTTCATATCATATCAGATCTGACCCCATGTATATTTCCACCTGTCCCCCAGCCTTAATGCAGCTTTCTACTCTGCCTGGGCCAACCACCCTTCTCTTCTCCATACCCCACCTCTCCCGGCATGTCTTAGACTCTTCTATGGGGTTGTGCATGTCGTCTGCCAGTGACTGATCAGAAGGAGCTGCTTTCATTTTGACTTCCTACTATAGATGGTCTTGTATGTAAGTGGCACGTGCAAATTTACAAGGCTACTTTTTTTTAAAAGAAAAAAGTAAATGTTTCAGAATTCTTGTACAAATGAACCATTGTTTGCTAATGGCATTTTTATACCTTTATATTTTCTCCATTACTACTCACCAATCTTTTTAGAACTTTGTTTCACTTAGAAGCAGTGAAAATATTTGTTTTAAACTTCTTAAGTTTAAAAAAGCAGTTGCTATTAAGCTATGTTAACCATTTAGGAGGTTCTAAAAAGAAAAAAAAAAACAGTTAACAGAGCAAAGACCTTAAAACCAGTGATGGAGGAAGATTATCAAGAGTGACTTCATAGAGGAACCGGTGCTTAGGCTTTTGAAGAAAGAGAAGGAATCTGGCAAGCACATGGGGACGGAGGAACCAGGAAAAGGTATTTGAGGCGGAATGAACTCCATGGGCAAAACCATGAAGGCATGGCACTCTTGGGAACTGTAAATAGCTCATTAATGAGAACAAGAGTAACAGAATTAGGGAGAAGTAGCGGGGAGGTTTTGGTGGGTGGAAGTGTTGTTGGTAGAGAGAAGTCAAGAGAAACCTGGAGGCCAGACCCTGTATGCTCTGCTGTGGAGTTTATGTGTTACTCTTCGTGTTCCTCATTGAAAGTGATTGATTAATCTTTGTCACTACAGTGCAGGCTTTTGTTACCTTACTATTGTTGTTATTTATTTACAATGTTTTCCTGTTCTCCTTTTTTAAATCCTGGAGTTAGACCCAGTATCTGGCACAAAGTAGATACTGAATAAATATTTGAAGAATGAATTATAAAAGTTTGTCGTAAAAGGTTTGTACACAGAGGTCATGGGAGCATCTTCCTTAGTCTCTTGTAAGAGATAACACCCTCTTTGTCATCTAGGATAATTACCGTAGTTCCTCCTGGAGGCAAACACCCCAGGTGACGATCACCTTAGTGTTTACTTCATACCCTACAACTTTCCAAAGCAAATTGAATTTGAGTTGCTGTTAAGGTGTATACTGGCACCATCTAGTGGTGATTTTAAGACCCAACCAAATTGAAAGTTTTTTATTTGATAACTGAACTTAAAATTTCAAGTAAAATGACCTTCTAACACTTTGTGAATTACTGAAGCATTGTATTTAATATCATATTCTGTTGATATTTGCCACTATCTTTGAGTTAATAGTTATGCATTCAATTATTTTCTTAAGACATGAGATCTTACTGTGTTGCCCAGGCTGGACCCAGACTCCTGGATTCAAGTGATACTTCTGCCTCAGCATCCAAATAGCTGGGTCTACAGGCATGTGCTACTATGTCAAGCTGTTAAATGATTTTATACATGCACTTCAGTGGTATTTTACAAACATGGTGCCAATAGGTTTAATGGAAAATATTTTATTTGTAATAAAATATGATTTTAGAGGATAATGGTCTATTAGTGGCTCTAAAAATTATCCACTGAGAAAGAAGGTACATTATTGGACAAACCTGGAATCTTACAACTATATTCTAATTTCACACATTATTTGCTGTGTCTCTTAGTTGCAGAGTTCCAGGCTTATGAAATAGTGGTTTTTTTCTGACATCCTTCTGCTTATTTTCTTCATTTTTTTTTTCTGTTTGGACAGTGCACTTTGAAAACTAAAGAATCGTGCCCTTTTGATTATTTTCCTTGGAGATACTTGGGTATGTACTGCAAATTTGCAGATTAAGCCAGAAAAACTTACGTGGTGAATCTTAGCTACTTAACACCTTCACAATTCTTTGAGCAGGTGTTATGTAGACATTATGCTTGTGACTTGTAGTTGACTGACAACTGAGTCAGGAAATTGGATCTTTTTTTTTTTTTTTAAGATGGAGTCTCACTTTGTCGCCCAGGCTGCAATGCAGTGGTGCAATTTTGCCTTACTGCAACCTCCGCCTCCCAGGTTCAAGCAATCCTCACACCTCAGCCTCAAGTAATCCACCTGCCTTGGCCTCCCAGAGTGCTGGAATTACAGGCATGAGCCACCGCACCTGGCAGGTGTATTACTTGAGGCCGGGAATTCGAGACCAGCCTGGGGAACATGGTAAAACTCTGTCTCCACCAAAAATACAAAATTAGCTGGGCATGATGATGTACACTTGTAATCCCAGCTACTTGGAAGGCTGAGGCTTGAACCTGTAAAGGACTTCAAATCCGAGCTTTTAGCTGCCATGTAAATTTCCTAACAGTTGAGAGGATGCCCATAGTGGAAAAATGCACCAAAAACCTTGAAGTAGTTAATAACTCTTAAAACACTCTAAATACTTGATAAAAATCTTGGTTTGAATTTATTGTTGACATTATCAACATCTGTTTGTTTCAATTTCTAATTATACCCACAGCCTTCATTCCAGCTTAAAGGAAATTTAAGGTTCTTGTCTTTTGGTCCCAAATGCTTGTTATTTCTCCTGCCCCACCAGCCATGAAGCAAGCATGCTTAGAGACATGCTGTCTGTGAACCAGCATTTTCCCATCAGGGCATGCCCTTCATCGGTTCTTGGATGTGAGAGAGATGTTTCCCAGTACCTCTCAGCTGGTAGAGCAGCTTGGTGGCAACCACTTGTTGTGTGGAAACTTTGAAGTTCTGGGTCACATACGTTTCTATGTATGGATTACTGTGTAAAATAGTGGATGTATATGGGTTTTCTACATTGTATATTTAAAACTCTTGTTTGTAAGATAGACACATAGAGTTGCACAATTGCAATCATATTATACCTACTTGAGCGTTGTACTCTTTTTTTTTTTTGTCCTGTGGCCTGTTCTCACCCCATATGGCCTTCTTCTTTATTTCACTCCTTCCACATCACCCTACTGTGTGTATAAAATGATGCATAAAATATAACATGTATTCCACATTTTTACATGCTTATGTAGTCATTTATAAAATATATCTTTGTACAGATATAAATACATATATGATTAGATTTTAATTCTTATTTTATGGGGAAAAGGTGGAATCATATTATATATAACTTAAAAATACACATGCCTTTCAACCAGCTGTCCCATTCCTGAGTATCTGTCCCACAGAGGTAAAAGCAGTAATCTGTAAGATTATGTACCAAGAGTGTTTTCTGCAGCATTATTCATAGCTTCAGGAAGGAACAGGAATCATTGGATAAATAATGATATATCTGCACCTTGGAACTTCAGGCAGTCATAAAAAAATAAATTTGATTTATACCAGAAGTGTCTCCTCTGCCCTTCTCTCTGTTTTGGATTTTACTGTTTATGTTCATTTACTAGCATTTTAGTGAGATCCAAGAGCAAGAAAAAAATAACTGTATATGACAGTCCTCTTAATAATTGAAAATCTGACTAAGTGGATTTCAAGATCTTCTTTAACTTCTATTTATTTTCCTCCTGGAGCTCTGAGATTGTTTTCAACTCTTTAACTTTTGCATCTTCTTACCCTTCTGTGTTTTGGAAACAGGAAATCCCCAGCCCCAACAAGTTAAATTCTTCTTTCTTGCCTGGCTTTTAACCCCTACTGGTCTTTTCTACCAATGGCATCTGAAGAGGCACAGCCTCAAACATTCTCCCTTTAATTCAGAACCAGTGAAATGTCAGTTCAGAAATTATTCCTGGGATATTTGGACTTGCTTGGAAGTAAGAGATCCCCAGGACAGATACAGCATTTCCATATAACCGCAGCTATGTCTTCCTTTTCTTTTGCTTCTGTACAGATTTGAAAAAGGGCGCATCTATACATTTATTGGAGAAGTCGTCGTTTCTGTGAATCCTTACAAGTCGTTGAACATCTATGGGAGAGACACGATTGAGCAGTATAAAGGCCGTGAGCTGTATGAGAGACCGCCTCACCTTTTTGCTATTGCGGATGCTGCTTACAAGGCTATGAAGAGGCGATCAAAAGACACTTGTATTGTGATATCAGGTAACTGGAGGGGTCCCCTCTATTTCCGGAGTCAAAATGTGTTTATCTGATACACAAGAATCTGAACAATTGATTAAATCTTTTTTTAAAGGTAGAAGCCTGAGCAATTCTATAGGAGAGAGAAAAGTAATGAACATTAAATATCAAGTTTTTTGTATCATTTCAAATCATGCTCTAGTCTTAGTTCATTTACAAATACATATTACACTTCTGGCCAGTTTGTTAGATTGAGCTGACATGGAAAATGTTTCCATCTCAAACACCTAAAAGTAGTGGAGAGAATGTAATAACATTAAATAACAAAATGAAACCAAGAAAATGAAATGCTGAGGTGCGAAAATGAAGAATGAGCTCAAAATCAGACTAGTGCTTGGGAGCTAGTGTTGAGGGACCTACAGAGGCGTGGGGGCCAGAAATAAGCTTTCAGAGCTGGGGGGCTGAGCTTTATAAACCCCAGCAAGGAGGGAGATAGGCACGAGTTAGGCTGCAGACCTTCCATGCCTGAGAACTGGAGCCAAACTATCTACGTTAAGCTGAGCCCTTCAAGGACTCTGTGTAGTGAAATGGGGACAGGAAAAATATCTGTCCGCTGACCCAGAATGGCCTCTCCTAAACTGTGGGAATTTCTTCAGGTGCTAATAATACCTCACATTTGCACTGGTGGTTTTACGCTTTTAGAAACACTCTTATATTCGTTTCTATTTTGGTTAGTTAAACAACTCTCTGGTATGTAGAACAGTTATTTTTCTACTTTATAGATAAGAATACTAAAGGTCAGAGGAGTTAAGTAACTTAGTGTTGGAGTTCGAAAATTATGTCCTAGGACTATGTTTTATTAAAACAAATTATGAAAACAGTATTTCTGGGTTTTAAAGGGGAGAGTAAAAACAATTATATGAGTGTGTGGAGTAAAAGCAAAATGTTTCTTCCCCTTGAGTGCCTTAATGTTCCCAAGATTCCAACAGTAACAGCTGTTAACAGTTTAATTTTATCCTTTTATACATGTTCTCTGCATGTGCAAACACATATAGTCACAATTGCACATGTAACCATATTATAAATATATAATTATAGAATTATGTCTGTTGTTATGTAACTCATTTTTCCAATTAATAATATATAGTAAATATCTTTTCCTTGGTGTTTCTGTAGTGCTGGTGCGTTCTTTTTAACCATAGTGTAGTGTTCCATTTTAATAACTAAAGCATAATTTATCCAGTTATCTACTGATGGATATATAATTTCCAGATTTTAGCCACAACTTACAGTATAGTCTATAGAAGTATTTTAAAACCTTCAAACATTATTATTATTTGGTTATGTTAGTATTTTTTAGTATTTCCTTAGGAGAAATTTCTGCCAGTGGAATTTTGGAGTCAGAAGACAGACGCATTTAAAATTTTTATAGATAATTCGAAATTGATTCCTCTTTCCCCATACCCCAGCCATTATCCCAATTGTCATGTTTTTTCTATGATTCCTTCTGTCTGGAGCTTTCTGTTTTGTTTTTTTCACTAAAATTACTCTAAATTTAATTTTTTTTTAAGAATTATTTTGTTCCCTTTAAGATTAAAAGAAATTCTGCTGTAGAAAATGAGGTTCTATGAATTTAGTTGTGACCACTGTTTGAATCACTACCTTATTTCTTTTCTGCTAGACTTATGAGTCCCTGCCAAGTACTAAAACTTTAGTATTAGTTTACCACATTGGTACTTTTTTCCTAAGAAAATTTTTATTTATAGTCTACTTATTAGTTTTCTAATAGTTTTATTTTCTTTATCATATTCAGGTTTGTTAGAACCACTAACCATATCAAGGCAGGATGAAATAAAAAAGCAAAAAATGAAAGAGTGCAACATGAGGGATTTTAAGTGTTTAACTAGTATCAGATTTTTAAATTATTCTATTAAAAATTAGCTTACTTTTGGTTTAAATTATTACATTAAGCCCTGAACAATTTTTTCCTTAGGGGAAAGTGGAGCTGGCAAAACGGAAGCCAGTAAGTACATTATGCAGTATATTGCGGCCATCACCAACCCCAGTCAGAGAGCAGAGGTTGAAAGGTAAGGGCGCTCTAATAATGGGGAGGGATTCTTCTTGGCACGCCGTTTTCTCTAGAGGACTTGGCTAGGCCTAAACTCTAATACCTATGGGTTGAGCATTTTTTGATGATTAAGCTACTTTGATTCTCTTAAGTGCATGTTGTTTCTATACTTTTACTTATTTCACTATATCCATTTCTAGATTTGTTTTTAATAGAAAAATACTACTGTGGTAAGCTTTACCTAATTATGAGACCAAAAAATCATTACTCTGAAACAGCTGAAAATGTTCCCATCCTGGTTTATTACTGCTGACTTAAATGTGGTCAGCAGAGCTATTGTAATTTACATTGGTGGGTTTTATTGTTCCAGCTTTCACAGGTTTTCACCACATCAGGGTTTTTAAAAAATTGTATTCTGAGAGAAGTGGGACCCTGGAAGGCAGACTCATGCCTTCCCATCATCATCATTACAACATTCAGAACCTGCTGACAATGGAATTTCTGAACAGGATTCATTTTCTAAAAGGATTTTATGCCATACTGTCATGCTGCTCACAGGAAGATGAGTAATAAACCTGGTCTCTACTTTCTGGGGCCCAGCATTTAGGGGAGCAGCTGGCACATAGTATTTGCTTAACAAATACATAAGGGATGAATGGATGATAGCTATAAAGCAACAAGACTCAACTTTCTTATGTGGTGCAGCCTTTTTGAAGAGAGAAACTATTTTCCTCATTGGCTTTTTTGAAGCTCAGTACTAATTTAATAAAGAGTCCCACCTCATATACACATCACAATCTTCAGTTTTATGAATAGGAAGAAAGAATATTGGGTTGATATGAAAGAAGAGAATTTACACTCCACTGCCCCACGTGGCTTTTCTTCTTTTTATCATATTGAGCTGCATTGCTAGGTCAGGAGAGGCATTTTTCCTAATTGTAATATATCCCTGCTTCTTACTCTGACTTTACAATCTAGTTTGACAAGGACAAGGATATGTGTGAGTTTTCTTAATTTCCTTAGGAGCTCAGGAGAGCAACTAGATGAGAAATAAATTAATTTTACATCTACTGTAGCAGAGTAAGGCATATATAAATTTACTAGTCTTTCACAAACATATCACAAGCCGTTTCCACACACACACATATTTTTAAAATATGCCTTCATTTATGAGGTGATAAGGTTGAATGCTCCAGTATTAGTGGGAGTAACAGTGGGTCTGCTACATCAAGGTATTTCAGCGGCCAAAGTTGTTTCTGCAGGTATGCCTGTATAAGAGGAATTCTATCAGTGGAATAAAAATAAGGATAACTTCTAGCATGAAGTCAAAAATGTATCCATTGGGAGGGACTGCTCTAGAGAGAGTTAGCATTCGTTGAATAAAGAATGCATTAAATGACTGGTGCAAGGGAGAAATTCCATACAGCTTCAAACAAAATAATGAGCGATTTCTGAACTAGTAAAGATTAAGCTTATGATGTATAACTAAGTACAATAAAATTTCACAATTCCTGGTTTTATAAGCAAGTGCCTTAAAAATTGTATCGTTTTCTGTATCACCTATTCTCTTTTCAGAACACACCTTTTTAAAAAATTTTCTTTATGTAAATAAAATATATACATTTATAAAAGGAAAAACAAAAATTACAGAATTAAATCGAAGGTGTAAAGGTTCCCTGGAATCCTACCTTGCCCACCCCGTCAGTCTCCTGCCTACAAAACCTTAGTAAGGTGTGCTGATCCCTCCAGATTTTTAAGCATTTACTGACACGTGTGCTTGCACACACACACACACACACACACACAAACCACATGTGTACACACATATGCACACACAAGGATCCTACAATGCATGTTATTTGACAACTTGATTTTATATTTGTTACTATATGCTGGACATGTCCATGTGAGTACATATTGAAGTACTTCATTCTTCTTAGCACCTCTATAGTATTTCACTATATTGGGAAACAAAACTTTATTTTTATCCCTATTGGTGGACATTTAAGTTGTTTGGTTTTTTTTGATATTGCAAACGATGCTGGAGTCAGCATTTTTGTATAAATATTTGTATGTGTTTTAGCAAAGTCCAGGTTTTAAAAAATTCTAGTCTCTATAAGTTTTTATAATGACTTTCATTTATCTTTGTTAAAGAGTGAAGAATATGTTGCTTAAGTCCAACTGTGTTTTGGAAGCTTTTGGAAATGCCAAAACCAATCGTAATGACAACTCAAGCAGGTTTGGAAAATACATGGATATCAACTTTGACTTCAAGGGTGACCCTATTGGTGGGCATATCAATAACTACTTACTAGAAAAGGTAAAATGTGCTTAATTTCTGAGGGTAATGTTGTAAGTGCTGAATGTTTAAACAAATTATAGAATTTATTTTATTAAGTCAAAATAGCTTTAAATCCTATTCTCCCTTCTTGATTAGCTTTTTATGATAAGTTATTCTCCTTTTGTCTTCTATTCTTAGCACTTACAATGTCAAATTGGAAAAAGTTGAGGATTTTGTACATAGATTTAGGTATGCGTGTGAATGGATGGGGGCGCAGGTATGAGTGTTTGCCAACTGTTGGGTAATTTCAACCAAAAATCAATTTAAGACTAATCAGTTCTAGTCTTTTTATACATCACCATCCTCTATACATTTTAATTTTATGTATTAAAATTTTCTTCTAGTTTCTATTTGTTCATTGTTTTGTAGTAATGTATATGTACTTTGTGATCTTACAGCCTAATTATGAAGTAAACTGTATTTGGTCAGTAAAAACTTAAAAATAGGCCCAATTTCTAGAGGATTCCAATTAAAACTTTCTTCTTGGGACCACCAGAGAGGTTATGTCTGGTTTTGTTTTGTGTTTTTTGAGACACGGTCTCACTCTGCCACCCGGGCTGGAGTGCAGTAGCGTGAACATAGCTTACTGCAGCCTCAACTCCCTGGGTTCAAGCGATCCTCCCACCTCAGCCTCCTGAGTAGCTGGGACCATAGGCATGGGTCACCACACCCATGTAATTTTTTTTTATTTTGTAGAGATGGGGTCTTCTGTGTTGCCCAGACTAGTCTCAAAATCTTAGGCTCAAGCAGCCCTTCTGTCTCAGTCTCCCAAAGTGCTGGAATTACAGGCATGGGCTGCTGCACCCAGCCAGTTGTGTCTTAACTAATCTTGATTATCTGTGGGCATGACTGCAAGAGAATACATAGAGTTCATTTTTACAGTTAAGCTTGTCCTTAACAAAATTAGGTCTCCACCCTGAATTTACACCGATCTAAGCTGACAGGTTTCTCAGTTAAGGGTTTCCTATCCCAATTAGGCCATAGCATCCTTTATGGCCATTTAATACAGTGTAATCTTTATTTTTGTTTGTTATTGAAGTCAGACTGTTAAGGAAATAAATCTATTATCAGAATCAGTCGAAAAAGGACAGGAGGCTGGGCACAGTGTCTCATGCCTATAAGCCCAGATTGTTGAGAATATTTCTCCCTAAGCATTCCTTCCTCTTCTCCCCACTTCTAATCCTTTGGGAGGTCGAGGTTGGGAGTTTGAGAGCAGCCTGACTAACATGGAGAAACCCTATCTCTACTAAAAATACAAAATTAGCCAGGTGTGGTGGCTCATGCCTGTAATCCCAGCTACTCAGGAGGCTGAGGCAGGAAAATCACATGAACCTGAGAGGCAGAGGTTGCCGTGAGCCAAGACTGTGCTGTTGTACTCCAGCCTGGGCAACAAGCATAAAACTCTGTTTCAAAACACAAAAAAAGAAAGAAAGAAAGAAAAGAAAAAGAAAAAGGACAGGAAATGCCAGGTATTATTATCAGTCTTTTTTCCAAAATGTTTCATGGATTCACTTTATGTATAATACATATTCAATCAAAAGGGTCCCTTTGAATGAATTCATATTTTGAACCCACTCCTAATAGCAGTATTTTTGGAATCATCTAAGACAGAGGTCCCTATGGATTGATCTTGCTCAACTGACTTTTATTACAGGATATAAGGGATTGCTCTTTGAAATGCCAGCAGACCCTGGGGAAAGGAATGTTGAGAATATTCCTCCCTAAGCATTCCTTCCTTTTCTCCCCATTTCTAATCCTTACCCCACCCCCAACCACCAAATTCTATCTTTAGGCTCCAAGTTAAAAAAATCAAAATAGCTTCGTTCTTCAGAAAGTTTTGGGGACCTCTATTAAGCAATAAAAAGAATTATCAAAGAATTGCAGGGGAAACCCCATAGAGAAGATCTATTCTTAGATGAGCATACAATCCAGGGGTCTTTAGGATTTTTAAATGCTCTGTAGATATAAGTTTCCCTAAGAAATTGACTACTGTTTTATTTTAGAGGCACATTTTCAGGCTAACCATTTTGATGTGTTTTTTTCTTAGTCTCGAGTGATTGTGCAACAGCCAGGAGAAAGAAGCTTTCATTCTTTCTACCAGGTTAGTAATCTGTTACACAGATAATTGATCATTAGCTCAGTTGTGCAGGAAATAAGTATTTGTGTCTTGAGCTTTCCTCCATCCTATGCGTCCCTAACCCTTCATTGGCCCCGCAGTACATCACGCATGCATGCACCACACACCTTGCCCTATGTGCTTAAGAGACCGGACAAGCGTGACTGTTCGACCCAGCTAGTAGGGGTTTACCCAACCAGATGACTGCCTTGGGTGAGCATCACCCATATTTTCTTGCAGTGTAGATAACACTTTAATGACTGTGAAAGCTTTTAAAATGGTACATTCTAAATTTTAAATTAATTTTTGTTGTATTTGGAATGAAGCTGTTGTTTCCATATTGGGAAGCAAATATATTCAGAGAAGGGAATACAAATTAGGTTTGTTTCACTCATATAGACTATAAAGCAGTATGATTACTTTTAAAAAACAATCCAGATTTATAACTTCAAGGGAGAATTGTCTTCTTTAATCCATCAAGTTTAGAAAAAAATTTGTGTATTTCTTTGAAGAGTGCCTTTAAATTCTAAAGCATAATCTTTTAAATAGCCTTCCTGTTGGCAAGTCTTTACACTCAGCGAACAAGTATGATATATTATTGTTACTTTTTTTAAAGCCCAAGGTAATATAAATCCAGGCTAACAAATAATGTGGGGGATCAAATTAGGCAATATTGTTTTGGATTTTTAAGAAGTAAAACTATAAATTGATAAGATTGATTTCCATGTGTAGGCTGTCTCTGAAAGTAACTGAACGATGACAATATAATTGAATGTGATTCAGTTGAATAGGTAACTACTTTAATAGACACTACTCATTTGTATATGTAAGTTCTGGTTATTTGGTTTAAAAATCAATTTTTAAAATCTGATAAGTAGACTTTTTAAGTAAACAAAAGTATACGGTTTAATTTAGAGAATTTAAACATAATATCTTCCAAAGACATATCTATATATAAAAGCACTATAAATATTGTATTTATGGTTCTGGGCAATTTGCCATGTTTTAAATAAGCTATTTTTCTACCAAATATAAAAGAGTTCTGTTTATTTCAGTAAACTGTGACTTTTTCCCAGTGTATTTCCCACTTGGGTGAAACTATTAAAATTTATTATTATCCAACACTATGGTCATGGTTCCCCAAGCTGTCCTCCTTTCCTGAGAGGTACAGACTGATGAGGAGGCGCTATTTGTTTCCAGTGTGATTCAGCATATGACTGTCTGCTGATGCTTCTTACTTCTGTAGCGATATTGTCTTTTTCTAAATTCTGAGACAGAACTATATCCTGTCTATAATGAGGCTGCTAAGCAAGTGAGCACCACAGAGCATAGGATCCTGTTTTACAAATGGCGGCATTTAAAGCAAGAACCTTTTATGCCAGTTATATTGTGAATGAGATGAGACATTTTCAAAGTAATTTTCTTTGTGACTGCATAACATTCTCTGTAACTGATAACATTGAGCCCTTTTACCTTCAGGGTTTTAAAAAAACAAAAACAAAAAACTTCTTCAAAGCTAGAAACAGGAAGACATAAGTGAGTTAAGCCCAGAAAATGAATAAAAGCCAGATTACACTAAGTTAATGTTTTGTTCAATGTATGTCTGGACAGCTTATTTCTAATTACATATTTTTCAGCTACTCCAAGGAGGTTCAGAGCAGATACTACGCTCTCTACATCTCCAGAAATCCCTTTCATCGTACAGCTATATACATGTGGGAGCTCAATTAAAGGTGAGAATTTCCTCTTTGAGACTGCTCAGATATAAAATCAATCAAAGAATCAGAAGAGACATGCAATAATTATCTGATTGATTGAGCCTGCTGCCTTTAGGCAAATAAATGTCTCTTTTATTCTGTTCTATTTTTTTAAATTCTCGACAGAAATTCAGTGCATTTTTGAATCAGCAACTTTGCTTAAGATCAATTCCAATATTTTATCACCATCTGACAGGAAAGAAGTTTTTTCTATGTTCAATCTTTTATTTTAATTTCTAATCCTATCTCTATTCCTTTTGACACTATAAAAATATTAATAGGACTAGGAAGTCTACCTCCTAAGAAGACTTCGTATGATTTGGCCAAAGGCAAGTTAGTAAGACAAAATTAAAATGTACTTTGATTCTGCATTCACAGTTTGTTCAAATATTAATTTTGATGTACCCTAGAAATAGTTTTGTGCCACTTGAGGCATTTCTATTCAGCTTTCAAGTTTTTCCATTTTTTCCCTTTTCTTGCATGCAGACACGTGCATACACTTATATAAAGGCATATTCTTACTCTTTTATTTCTGATTCATTTTCTGTTAGTAATTTTACAACTAATTCTAATAATAGTTTGTTGATAATAATTACACTATTATCCTATTTTGTAGAAGGGAAGATATATAAATGTATAGAATAAAATATGGTAGGATATAGATCACAGTATTGTTTATTCTGGGTGGGTGAGATTATAGATATTTGTGTTCTGTTTTTCCTTATTTAAAAAAATTCTATAATAAAAATTTATGGCTTTCATAGGGAAGAAATAAAAGAAACTGTAAAGAAAAAAATCTAAAATATGGAAGATATTTCTTTATTAATCAAAGAAAATTATACCTGCATTACTAGTTTAGCTGTACTTTTATTGCTGTGCATAGAAATTAATAATATTTTAGTTTTTGCACTTAATTTTCCATTATTTGACATTTAGGCTATAACAACTTTACTTTTACAGTCATCTAAGAGCAGGAATATTTGGCTGAAAATGAATTAAAAACAAAAGACAGGGCACAGTGGCTCACGCATTAATCCCAGCACTTTGGGAGGCCGAGGCAGGCAGATCACCTGAGGTTGGGAGTTCGAGACCAGCCTGACCAACATGGAGAAATCCTGTCTCTACTAAAAATACAAAATCAGCCAGACGTGGTGGCGCATACCTGTAATCCCAGCTACTCGGGAGGCTGAGGCAGGAGAATAGCTTGAACCCAGGAGACAGAGGTTGCAGTGAACCGCGATCATGCCACTGCGATCCAGCCTGGGCAACAAGAGTGAAACTCCATCTCAAAAAAAATTAATAAAATAAAAACAAAAAACAGTAAAGGGCAACACTTCAACTCTCTGAGAACTAGCCAGAGGCACTTAAAGATGTGTAAAGAATTGTAGAGTCAATACCTGGAAAGCCAGTGACTGGGAATTTTTTTTCAATCACATTGTCTTATTGACTAAGTTACTTTTGACCAAGTCATGTAGAGTCTCTACAGAAAGCAAGTATTAATAGCCTTTTTTCCAGGTTGAATTTAGCTTAGATTCCCTTTTTATAAAAAATTTTCCATTTCTGCTTTCCCTGCTTTTTTTTTTCCTTCCTAAGAAAAACAAAGAAATAATAAATGATCATAGTCAAAACCTAAAATAGAAACCAAAAGGAAACAAAAACTAACTCTTACCATACAGAGATAATTCTTGATAATGGTTTGTGTCTTTATTTATTTATTGCATTTTAGGTTTTGGGGTACATGTGCAGAACATGCAAGATAGTTGCATAGGTACACACATGGCAGTGTGTTCTGCTGCCTTCCTCCCCTTCACCCACATTTGGCATTTCTCCCCAGGCTATCCCTCCCCAGCTCCCCCCCGCACTGTCCCTCCCCTATTCCCCCCAATAGACCCCAGTGTGCAGTACTCCCCTCCCTGTGTCCACGTGTTCTCATTTTTCATTACCCGCCTATGAGTGAGAATATGCGGTATTTCATTTTCTGTTCTTGTGTCAGTTTGCTGAGAATGATGTTCTCCAGATTCATCTATGTTCCTACAAAGGACACGAACTCATCATTTTTGATTGCTGCATAATATTCCATAGTGTATATGTGCCACATTTTCCCAGTCCAGTCTATCATCGATGGGCATTTGGGTTGGTTCCAGGTCTTTGCTATTATAAACAGTGCTGCAGTGAACATTCGTGTGCATGTGTCCTTATAGTAGACCGATTTATAGTACTTTGGATATATACCCAGTGATGGAATTGCTGGGTCAAATGGCATTTCTATTTCTAGGTCCTTGAGGAATCGCCACACTGTCCTCCACAATGGTTGAACTAATTTACACTCCCACCAGAAGTGCAAAAGTGTTCCTATTTCTCCACATTCCTCTCCAGCATCTGTTGTCCCCAGATTTTTTAATGATCGCCATTCTAACTGGCATGAGATGGTATCTCAATGTGGTTTTGATTTGCATCTCTCTAATGACCAGTGATGATGAGCATTTTTTTATATGTTTGTTGGCCTCATGTATGTCTTCTTTTCTAAAGTGTCTGTTCATATCCTTTGCCCATTTTTGAATGGGCTTGTTTGTTTTTTTCCTGTAAATCTGTTTGAGTTCTTTGTAAATTCTGGATATCAGCCCTTTGTCAGATGGGTAAATTGCAAAAATTTTTTCCCATTCTGTTGGTTGCCGATTCACTCTAGTGACTGTTTCTTTTGCCGTGCAGAAGCTGTGGAGTTTGATTAGGTCACAATTTGTCTATTTTGGCTTTTGTTGCCAATGCTTTTGGTGTTTTGGTCATGAAGTACTTGCCTACTCCTTTTTCCTGAATGGTTCTGCCTAGATTTTCTTCTAGGGTTTTTATGGTGCCAGGTCTTATGTTTAAGTCTTTAATCCATCTGGAGTTAATTTTAGTGTAAGGTGTCAGGAAGGGGTCTAGTTTCTGCTTTCTGCACATGGCTAGCCAGTTTTCCCAACACCATTTATTAAACAGGGAATCCTTTCCCCATTGCTTGTTTTTGTCAGGTTTATCAAAGATTATATGATTGTAGATATGTTGTGTTGCCTTCGATGCCTCTGTTCTGTTCCACTGGTCTATATCTCTGTTTTGGTACCAGTACCATGCTGTTTTGATTACTGTAGCCTTGTAGTATAGTTTGAAGTCCGGTAGTGTGATGCCTCCTGGTGTGTTCTTTTTGCTTAGAATTGACTTGGCTATGTGGGCTCTCTTTTGGTTCCATATGAAGTTCATGGTGGTTTTTTCCAGTTCTGTGAAGAAGGTCATTGGTAGCTTGATGGGGATAGCGTTGATTCTGTAAATTACTTTGGGCAGTATAGCCATTTTCACAATATTGATTCTTCCTAACCATGAACATGCAATGTTTCTCCATCTGTTTGTGTCCTCCTTTATTTCGTTGAGCAGTGGTTTGTAGTTCTCCTTGAACAGGGCCCTTACGTTCCTTGTAAGTTGTATTTCTAGGAATTTTATTCTTTTTGTAGCAATTGTGAATGGCAGTTCGTTCTTGATTTGGCTCTCTTGAAGTCTGTTATTGGTGTATAGGAATGCTTGTGATTTTTGCACATTGATTTTATATCCTGAGACTTTGCTGAAGTTGCTTATCAGTTTCAGGAGTTTTTGGGCTGAGACGATGGGGTCTTCTAGGTATACTATCATGTCATCTGCAAATAGAGACAATTTGGCTTCCACCTTTCCTATTTGAATACCCTTTATTTCTTTTTTTTTTTTCTGATTGCTCTGGCTAGAACTTCCAGTACTATATTGAATAGGAGTGGTGAAAGATGGCATCCTTGTCTAGTGCCAGATTTAAAAGGGAATGCTTCCAGTTTTTGCCCATTCAGTATGATGTTGGCTGTTGGTTTGTCATAAATAGCTTTTATTACTTTGAGATACGTTCTGTCAATACCGAGTTTATTGAGGGTTTTTAGCATAAAGGGCTATTGAATTTTGTCAAATGCCTTCTGTGCGTCAATTGAGATAATCATGTGGTTTTTGTTTTTGGTTTTGTTGATGTGGTGAATTAAGTTTATAGACTTGCTTATGTTGAACCAGCCTTGCATCCCCGGGATGAATCCTACTTGATCATGATGGATAAGTTTTTTGATGTGCTGTTGCAATCGGTTTGTCAGTATTTTATTAAAGATTTTTGAATCTCTGTTCATCATGGATATTGGCCTGAAGTTTTCTTTTCTTGTTGAGTCTCTGCCGGGTTTTGGTATCAGGATGATGTTGGTCTCATAAAATGATTTGGGAAGGATTCCCTCTTTTTGGATTATTTGGAATAGTTTCAGAAGGAATGGTACCAGCTCCTCTTTGTGTGTCTGGTAGACTTCGGCTGTGAACCCATCTGGACCTGGACTTTTTTTGTGTGGTAGGCTCTAAATTGCTGCCTCAACTTCAGACCTTGTTATTGGTCTATTCATAGTTTCGGCTTCCTCCTGGTTTAGGCTTGGGAGGACACAGGTGTCCAGGAATTTATCCATTTCTTCCAGGTTTACTAGTTTATGTGCATAGAGTTGTTTGTAGTATTCTCTGATGATGGTTTGAATTTCTGTGGAATCTGTGTTGATTTCCCCTTTATCATTTTTTATTGCATCTATTTGGTTCTTCTCTCTTTTCTTTGTTATCAGTCTGGCTAGTGGTCTGTCTATTTTGTTGATCTTTTCAAAAAACCAACTCTTGGATTTACTGATTTTTTTGAAGAGTTTTTCGTGTCTCTATCTCCTTCAGTTCTGCTCTGATCTTAGTTATTTCTTGTCTTCTGCTAGGTTTTGAGGTTTTTTGATCTTGCTCCTCTTGCTCTTTCAATTTTGACGATAGGGTGTCAATCTTGGATCTCTCCACTCTTCTCATGTGGGCACTTATTACTATATATTTTCCTCTGGAGACTGCTTTAAATGTGTCCCAGAGATTCTGGTATGTTGTGTCTTTGTTCTCGTTGGTTTCGAAGAACTTCTTTATTTCTGCCTTCATTT